ATCCTGGTTTGAGCCACCATTGTCGCTCGCCTGCATCTCTGCATCAGCCTCTTGGCGGATCTTCCTGTTTCTGTCTTTGTCCTGGTACAGTCTATTCATAGCACAGCAGCCAAAGAGATCCCCTTAAAGGTGAGTTAAGTCATATCACTCATCTGCTGAAAATCCTCCAATAGTTTCCTGGTTTACTGAGAGAAAAACACAGAATGCTTGAGTTGGCCTGTACTATCCAGAAGAATCCAGCTCTCCCAGCTATCTCTCCACCCTTTCCTACTATGTTCACTTCACTAATTCCCTTTCAAGCATCAGTCTTCTTGCTTTTCCCCAAATAAACCAGGCATTCTTTTATCTTAGGATCTTTGCTCTAGCTTTTTTCCCCTGCCTGGAATATTCTTTTCTGTAGATACTTGGCTAACTCCTTCAACTCCATCAAATCTCTGTTCACGTATCACCTTCTCAATGAAGTCTACACCGTGACCACCCTATTTCATAAGATATCCACCTTACTACTGGGTCTGATCCTTATGCTACTGTTTTTCTTATTTCCACATCACTCATCAATCTCTGATGACCTGTATGATTTACTTATACATTATAATTTACATCAGTGGACTGCTAAGCTGCACCAATGATGGCAACTTTGCCTTATCACCTGGTATGTCCCAAGTACCTCGAGCAGACAAGACCTATAGAAGGAGCTCAATAAACATTTTCTAAGGAATGAACACTTAAGTGAACCAATGATGTCCAAATAAGTACTAAATCTGAATCCTGATAATTCCACCTAGGACACTTCCAGGATCCATTCCTTCTGCTCTGTACCTGCTCTCATCCTAATGATACTTTTATTATTTCACTATTGAGTTTTTGAAACCCACTGACTCATCACTTACTACCCATCTGGTTTTGCCCACAGATGACCAACTCTGTGGATAGCACTGCTCCCATGCCTGGCCTCCTTAGGGGCTTTCATATCCCTTCCTCCACCTACTTTCATTGCTTTCCTTTGCTTCCACTTCATGAATCTTTCCTTTCTCTTCCCTGTCTCCCAACCCTACCTGCACACTACAACTCCATCTCTCTGCTCACAATGCATATTCCAACCTGGAGTGCCACCACCAAAATACCCGTCCCTCTTTCCATCCTAGCCCACTTTCCACTTCCTCTTGCAAAGGTTCTCTTGACCCTCCAGTTCACAAGGATCTTGTGCCATCTCACACATTCACAGTGCTTACCAAGAAAACCTTATGGTTTGAATGTCTCTCCTGGAAGTTCATGTGTTGGAAACTYAATCCCCAAACCAACAGTAATAAGAGGTGGTACCTTCAAGAGGCAATTGGGTCATAAGGGCTCTGCCATCGTGAATGGATTAATGTCATTATCATGGGAGTGGGTCTATTACAGATGTGAGTTTGGCCCTCTTGTGCTCTCTTGCCAAATGATACCATCTACCACAATATGCTGCAGCAGAAGGCCCTCAGTAGACGTGACCCTTCATTCTTGGACTTGCCAGCCTCCAGAACCATAGCCAAAAAATTTATTTATAAATTACCTAGTATTTGGTATTGTTTCAGCAGCACAAAACAGACTAAGTTAGACGCCTCCCCCATTCAACTGAAACTAATCCTACATCTCAGAGTAGCTCTTAGAGTATCATTTCTTACTACCATTTTATATAACTCTTTAATTGTTACATGAAATTTCTGTGTATAATAAGTCAGGGAAAAGGGAATATTTAATTTTTAATTGTGAGACTGATAAATCTTCTTTCTCCAGTTATATGATAGGCTCCCTAAAAGTTAACATAGTGCTTTAAGCTTCCTAGGGATTCAAACAGTGCCAGGCACACAGTAGGTAGACAACAAGTGTAGATGGAGGTAGTCAAATGATTTTGAATCTATACAGGGAAGAATCCACAAATGCTAAGGAACTTTGTTGAAAGTACAACCACCAAATTGGGGGAAAGGAGTGGAATAAACCAACATGAAAAACTAAAATACAACTATAAGGGGATGGCTTTCTACTTAATGTACATTAACTGTCATTTTTATGGCTGATAGAAAACATGCAGCACTGATTTTAGTTCTTGTAATAATGTTTTGTACAGATATTCTTTTACACTTTGAGGGAAATAAGAAATGTTGTTCTTCAGTGCAGTAGAAGTAGTTGTAAGTCTAAACCATTTTCTATGGCTGTGGAATGGCCAAAAGTCACAGCATCTTGAAGATCCCTGGACTACAGGTGGCCCCTGACTCACGAGGGCCAGACTTCATGATTTTTCAACCTCATGAAACATATGCATAAAACCATTCTGTTTTTCTCTTCTTAGACAGTATTTAATAAATTACAGAAGACATTCAATACTTTATTATAAAATAGGCTTTGTATTAGATGATTTTGTCTAACTATAGGCTGCTGAAAATGTTCTGAACACATTTAAGGTAGGCTGGGCTAGGCTAAATCAATCAATCAATAGGTTAGTTGTACTAAATGCATTTTTGAATTATGATATTTTCAACTTATGATGGGCTTACTGGGACATCATCCCACTATAAGTTGAAGAGCATTCATACTCTGCCATAGCCCATGCCCAGGGAAAGGTGCTCTTATCAGGTGACCATCAGAACTGAAAACAAGGGCACAGACTCTGCTTATCAGTGTTAATACTTTGCTCTTCACTGTTTTCCCCAGTTTCTTCCATTTATTTATGTAACAAACACCTATTGTGTGCTTATGATTGCTGCTCTGCCCAGGGTTGGGTATATATATATATATATCCCTTATTAATTTAGCACAACCCTCAAAGGTACATATCATGAATGCTCCCAGTTTACAAGTGGAGACCTTGTTCAGAGTGGTTAAATAACACAGCCAAGTTACAGTTAGTAAACTGCAGGTCTGGGATTTGGACCTTGAGAGGGCATTGACACCAAAGTCCTTGTTCTTTCTACTTTGTCAAGTTGCCTCTCAGGAGCTTAGTGTGTGTTTGATAGAGGCACAAGTGAACAAATGACCCAAAGGTTTGCAGTTTTGTTGAACACAACTGAACCACCATAGACCATGCAGAGGAGTAAACAATGACATTAACATTATGTTAACGAGATAGTAAAATTCAACATTGATATGGCATAAGTGTTTGAAAGAAACTTTCTGGAGAGAAGATCTGAGATCTTTCATCTCCTTTACTGATATTTTTAAAGAGGGCTCCAAAATCTTTATTTTTCCAGAGGAAACAATCTAGCCATTTGTTAAATCTGCAAGTTCTTTGTCACTCAAATACACTATACAGGGGTTCCAGGGTTAAAAAGGCAGGTCAGCCATCTATGAACTCCCTTCCCCTCCACTGGGCTGGGTAGCCACAGCAAGGAATAAGTGCCTGGTTGACTCCAACCAGATAACCATCTTGCAGATGCAAAATCTCAAAACCTGTCCAGGAGTATATAAGTCAGTTGATGAAAATGCATGTTGGCCCCAGACTAATTTCAAGACAAATGAGATAAAACTGAGCCCCTTAAAACATAAAAGACCAGTTTAAAGAGAGAAGGCTGCTCAGAGATTGCACCTCTCCCAGTTATCAAAGAATTTTGTAACAATAACTTGACCCCTTTGCTGACCCAGGAAACTTGGGCCAAGAGACAGTCATCTGCCCACATGTGTCTGCAATGATATCTGCAGCCATCACTGTCATCACACCAAGGCTAGTGAAACTGTTCTTGCTGGATTACTAGCCTGTGAAAGACATTGACTGCCATCGAAACCTTTTACATAATAAGTTAATGATGCACTCATCACCAAATTCCCCAAATGCTCAAGTTACCCGTATCTAAATGTAAAAAGAGAAAACAGAAATTTTCAAAAAATCTCTTGTAGCAATATCAATGCAACATCTTCATTATTTCCTTGTGTATTTAACTAAGGTACCATTTTCAATTAATGTTGTTATAATTCAACATTCTTAAGTATTTGAGATAGCCCTTGAAAGAGGCTCCTTAGCCAAAGATTCAAGTGGAGGTAGAGGTCCAGAGGCATCCCTGCTAACTTTTTAACATTCTCATGTCTTTTAATTGGGGGTTCCTGCATGTCGACAGGCACATCAAGTCTAACCTCTTCCCCAAGAAAGTTATCTGAGTGGTAGCATTGTCTTCATGGTAATGCATCAAGGAATACACTCGATGGTAGCTGTTTTCTTACAAATGTGGCTTTATATGGGCATGAATGGTAGGTTGATCACTTTGCTTGGCCTAGGTGGGAAGTCACAGAGAGGACTCCTGGCCCCAGTGCCCGGCTATAGGCACAGCACTTGGCTTTCATGGCTAAAAGAACAAAGGGGCTCTCCTCTGCTCTGCCCTCCCACAGAGCAGTTCCTGACCCACCTCTCCTAAGATGTTAGATGGAGTGAGAAGAAGCCCACAGCATTCACACCAGGCCGCAGCACAGAGCAGCATTCTCAGTTAGCAAACCTGCTCTCCCTGGTGAGGAGCAGAAGTGGCCCCAGACAACTGGGGAATCAAACCAGGAAATGCAAGGGTGGGGACATTCCAGGGTAAAATTTTTTAAAAACAAAAAATACATATATAAAGAAAAGAAGATGCATGAAGCCACGAGATTGGCTGGTTAACCATGGGTTAGAGTCAGGTTTACAGGATCACAGTAACTCAGTGTCTCAGTAGATCCCCAAACCTCAGAGTGAAAGACATAGGTGAAAGGCATTTCTACTTGTGGAAAAGAATGTTTTCATCTTTCACCATTTATATTCTCTGTCTTATTTCTTTATTGATCGTCTGTAACCCAAATTTGGACAACCCATCACTTTTACCTGCTCAACATTTTCATTTCAAAGACCAACAAATATGGGGTCCAAAGAGCACTTTCCCACAGCCAATTCCCATCAGCCCTTCTCTCCCAGGGTTACAGGGTGCTCAGAGCAGACACTGTCAGCAGGACATGCCACACACAGCAAGTCACCAAACCAGAGAGCATTAAAGGACTTCCAGGGGACTTACTTGTACTGGTACTGGTTCCAATTGTGTTGATTGTGGTGGGGACGGATGAGGAGGAGTAGAGGGGCACATGGCCATTCTCACACCCCAGGCTTTTGTCCTGCCAGTTGGAGGCATTGATGCAAATCCCAGAGTCCCGAGAGTTCTGCCACCCGTTGAGCTTGTCATCAGAGTTCTGTCTTTGGTGATAGTAGTGCGTCTGCCCATAATCCACAGAGTCCGAGCGGCCTCGGCTCTGGCCGCCGAAGCTGGTGGAAGTGCGGTCCTCCAAGTGATTCAGCCACATGGCTAGAGCACTGCGGTCTTCCAATGAAGTGGCCGGATGTATCAACGCATAGGACAGCAGCTGTCTGCTCTCCTCAATGTGCTGGTTGTGTTCAATAGAGTGTGCCAGGATTTTGGGCAGCAGTTTCATATACTCTACTTTTGCGTCGAGGTTTCCTGGCTTCAGCAAAGGCAGGTGAGTTAACAGGAGGGAAATCACTTTATCCTTGGATTCTTGTTGCCATTGGTTAATGATTCCTGCAAAGGAAAATACACAGGGCAAATGAGCAAATACACTCACAATGACACTAAACACCATGCTCTAAATTTAGAGAATGTCTATGGATTAGAGCCCCAATCTATGCACCCTGGCTAAATTTTTTGCAAAACAATCTGTGCATCAGATTGGTGAATAGACCTCAGATCTCCAGGGGTCAGATACTTCAATGAAACACAGATCAAAAATTCTGAGATGTTTGGATGCTCGATCTCATTCTCATTCACATCTCCAAAGAGGTTATATAATGTTGGTCCAAACAAAATTTACAGCTGTTTTCCTTAGAAAATTCCTTAGAATTTTCCTTGAAAATTCTAGGCCCACCCCACAAATGGATGGGGGATAAATCTAAGAAAATCTCCATAGACAAGCCAGTAAAATCAAGCACCCCCATACCAGTGTCCTGGAGGTGCAGGTTGCCTCTCTACCCCCAACTCTCTTGAGAAGAGGTTTTAACCCTGGCAAAGGGATTTTTGTAAAATAAGTAAAACTTCTGACATGGGGAAATCTATCAGGAAAAGGACGGACTTCCTCATCTTGGTGCAGTAAGACTGCAGCTTTCTCATGAGAAACTGACTCAGAAAAACAACTATGGACTCAGAGTAGATGAGTCACAGATCCAAGACTCAGGTCTAGTGGCACCTCTGATCCCACATACTAAATAGATTATTTTTCTTTATGTGAAGGTCTGTTTGTTTCTATTGTAGTAAAATACACATAGCATTAACATTTTACGTGTACAGCTCAGTGTCATTAAGTGCCTTCACAATGAAGTGTATCCATTTCCAGAAACTTCCATCTTCCCAAACTGAAACTCTGTTCCCATTAAACAATAACTCCATTCTCCCTTCTCCCCAGCCCTGGCAAACCACCATTCTATTCTGTATCCTGTCCTTATGAACCTGACTACTCTAGGAACCTCAGACAAGTGCAATCAGAGTGTTTGTCATTTGGACTGCCTTATTTTGCCAAGCACCATGTCCTCAAGGTTCATCTATGTGAAGATCTGTTTCAAGCACACTCACAAGGATATCTCTTGTCCCCTCCCACTCGAGACATAAGCAACACACTCTGTCTTGATTGGCTTTTGAGCAGTGGCTTATTTTGGAAGCTGGGCAGTCCTGTGGGCTGTCACACAGTATATGCAGAGGTAGAAGGGGTTCACATACCCGTAAACTACAAATGCATTCACCTGTACTGAAAGGCCTCTTCAGATCTCTGGAAAGAATGTTTTCAAAGAAACTTACGGTGCTACAGCTGGGGTCTTGAATGTCTCCCAAAGGCTTATGTGTTAAAGGCTTATCCCCATGATGCTATTGGGAGATGCTGGAAACCTTTAAGAGGTGGGACCTAGTAGGATATTTTCTGGTCATTGGGGTTATGCCCTTGAAGGAGATAGTGTGACCCCATCCCTTTCTCCTCCTCTCTTTTTGTTTCTCAGCTGCCATAAGGTAAGCAGCTTCCTCTACCATTTGCTCTGGCCATGATGTACTTCTTTGCCACATGTCCTAATGCAATGGGACCAACTGATTGTGGACCAGAAATTCCAAAACTGAAAGACAAAATAAACCTTTCATATTTTTAAGTTGATTACCTTAGGTATTTAGTTACAGTGACAGAAAGGTCTCTAAAGGGGCATGGTCTTTGGAGTCTGGCAAATCTGGGCAGAAGTCCCAGAACTGCCACTTGGTTTGTGGTAGAAACTTAGTAAGTTATTTTGCCTGAGTTTCAACTGCCTTGTCAGTCAAGAGTGACCAACAACCTCTTCCCTCTTCATGCTCTTGGATTAAATGAGATAAAGTTTCAAAAGAACCAGTCAAGTACTTGAATTGGAAAAAATTCCTTCTATTTGTCTCTGCATTAGCCAGAACCACATTAGAGTGATGTAGGTGATTTGGAGACCAAGTTTTAAAAATAATTTAGAGAAAATAGACACCACCCGGGGGAAGTCATTAAAAATTATCAAAAGTTTGGAAAGAGGTAGAAAATAAAGCTGGGTGCAGTGGCATGTGCCTATAATCCCAGTGGCTCAGGAGGCTGAGGCAGGAGAATCACGAGTTCAAAGCCATCCTCAGCAAAAGTGAGGAGCTGAGCAACTCTATGAGAACCTGTCTCTAAATAAAATAGAAAATAGGGCTGGGGATGTGGCTCAGTGGTCAAGTTTTCCCCTGAGTTAAATCCCCAGTATCATAAATAAATAAACAAACAAACAAACAAATAAATAAATAAATAAATAAATGACAGCATAAAAAAGAAAAGAAAAAGGTTAGAGAGACAGGAGGTATTGAGTGTATAATAATATGAAAAGATGCTCAACTCTTCAAATGGGGATTTCATTAACTATTTGAAGTTGAAATCACCAAACTGAAGCAGGTGTGGGAAGTTAAGATAGGACATGGAGAAGAACTGAACTACCAGAACAATAAAAAGACTCAGAGGAGTCACCAGGAAAGAGTCCCGGATTTCTGTCTTGGTGGTTTGAATACTAAAGACAGATGATCTAGAGTAGCATTGTTCAATAGTACTACGATGTGAGCCATACACAGAATTTTAAACTTTCTAGTAACCACATTAAGAGTAAAAAGAATGAGCTAAAATTAATTTTAATGATATATTTGATTTAATCTAATATATCAAAATATTATCATTTCAATGTGTTTTACATGTAAAACTATGGAGCCATTTTACTTTCTTTTGCTTTATATTAAGTCTTTGAAATCCAGGGTATATTTTATCACTGACAGCACATCTCAACTGAGTCCAACCATAATAGCGGTGCCCAGAAGCTTGGTGGCTACTGAACTGGCCAGCATAGGCTGGAGATATTGGATGGGAAGGCAGGCGGGAGGCACAGATGACCTCAGGAGGTCCCTCCCAGCTCCCTAGCTCTATATTTAGCTAATGGCCACTGGACACAGGACAACCCTCATGCATTCTACTAGGTACAGCCTCTTTTGTAAGCAGCTCTGGGAGATGGAATCAATTCTAATGTTCTCATGCATACCTTGTGTGCAAACACCAGGCATGTTTTAAATGCTTAAGATGAAGAAAAAATCTATTCTGTAAGCCCAAGTGTCTAAAGAGGTACTGGAGAGAAACAAAAGAGGCCAAGAGAAAGGTAAACGTATTATAGGTCAACCATGATCAGAGGGAGCCAGAAAACGTGTACATTTAAAAATGAAATTTGGGAACAGCCTTTAATAAAATTGCACAAGGCTGAGGAACTTTCTAGCTTTCTGCTAGGTCATGTCTCTGTTTGGATATTTTACCTGTTCACAGAAGATCAGTCTGAAAAAAAAAATTAGGAACAAAAACAGAATGTAAATAGGACTCAGAGTACAAATTAAGCATATAACTGCTCCCTGCCAGGGATTAACCTGGGGGTCACAGGAGGAAAATATACAGCAAAGAGGAAGGAAAATGAAAGACTGCTGGCCCTGGTCCCTTCTAGAATTGAAATGACTGTATTCTGGGGACAGGGATTGGATGGGCTGTGACATGGTCAGGAAGACAACTATTGCTTTTGTTTACTACTTCGGGAACATGAAAATAAGGTGGCCTGCTGAGGGCTAACCACACCTACTGGATCAAACCATTTCTGCTTTTGCTACAGCTGCCATTGCTGACTGCTAACAGCCTGAGTGTTTTTTATGTGTCAGGCACCCTTCTGCACCCTGTGCATTTAATTACTCATTTTAATCCTCCCTGGAAGCTTGTGAGGAAGGTCCTATAACTAGTGTTATTTTACAGATGAGTACCAGAGGTGTAAATGGGGCAAATTACTTGGCCCAGGTCCCTGGGCTAGTGAAGTGGCAGAATGGAGGTAGGCAGATAAGCTTAAAACTACACAATGGCTATCGTGCTAGAGTGGTCTGGCCATAAGCTATATTTAAAGTGCACATATATGTAGTAGTTATAATAATATTAATATAAATATATTAATAGAGTATATGGTTCAGCAAAGGAGTTGGCCAGCCAAAGAAATGTAGAAAAAAGCGTTACAGAGATGATATAGATGATACTCTCTGTGGTTTTAAAATATGCCTGCAATTTCTTTGATATTCCTCTCTTTGAAAGGTAGAGTCTAATTTCCTGCCCTTTGTGTGCAGGCTGGATTCAGTGAGTTACTTCCAGTGAATATGACAGTGTGGAACTTCACAAGTCAGGTTATAAAAGGCACTGTGGCTTTCACCTGGCTCTCAGACTACCCACTGGGGGAAAGCCAGCCGCCATGTTGACAGACCATTCTAGCAACCCAGTGGGGAGGTCCTTCTGGTAAGGAATGGAGTATCCCAGCCAGCACCAGTCTTGCCAGCTATGCAAGGAGCCCTCATGGAGGCAGATTTCTACCCCACATACACCTTCAGCTGACTGTGGTCCCAAACAACATTTTCGAGGGACCTTGAACCAGAATCACTCATGTTCCTCATCTGCAGAAACTGTGTGCAATTACATGTTTATTGTTTTAAGCTGTTCATTTGAGGGATTACTTAAGTGGCCAAAGAGAACTAATACACTATCCAAGTACCCCACACTAGGTAAAAGAAAGCTTAGCCATTTGGCTTTGAGTAGTTCTCTCCTTCCAAGTCCTATTTCATTCTGAAAGAGACCCAGGAAGTTAACCTGGTGCCACTAAGTAGTCACCTGGCTAAGCCTCCCTTGTCCTGATCATCCACTCACCATCAGCCTTTGAACTTTGAGTTAGCTTCCCAGGCGCCTTTAGGGAAAGAGTGAAGGAACCAGAGACTTGAGGTATTTCCGGATTCGGTTGTGGTAGTTTTTCAGGGAAACTTACCAAATCATTTCTGATTATGATTTGGCTTCCTGTGAAGGCCTGCCTACAGGGAGAATATGTGCTGATTATACAAACTTGGAATATGTCTGGTCTCACTAATGATGGTTCCTTGAGGCAAATTAACAAGCCAGCATTGCAGGGTCCACCTCCCTGCCTTCTAGTGAGTATGAGTCAATCCCTCTGGAT